GCCCCCCTCTCTTCCTCCCCTCTCCCCTTTCTCTTCCTCCCTCCCTCTGACATAAAATAATACTATCAATTCCTTGTATAAAGAAAAGAGCGTGACAGAATTGACGTCCTTACTCCCTTCTCATTACTGCACCTGACTGGTTAAAACCAAACAAAACACGGATAAAGACTGTTAATTGTTGTTTCCGTTTCACAAATGGAGAGATGATTTGTTTAAGAAGACATGGCTAGTGACAGGCGGTAGAGACTAGTCTTGTCCTTTCTCTGAATGGTGAGTCCATCATCTTTAGTTTCTATCACTAAATTCCTGAACGTAGTTTCCTTAAAACCCCATCTTTCACTCCCCACCCCCGCCCCAGACTTCCTTGGTGAAAGGAAATTGCCCAAAACTAGCATGACAGCTTTCCCAGAAATTAAAATTAAAACTTTGTATATATTTGCACTGAAATCTCCCTCTGAGAATCCTCCAAAACCTCGGTGGAAAGAGCTCTGTACTCCAAATGACAGACTTGTTTTTGAGTACAGACTCTGCAATTTACCAGTGGAGTGACTCAGCCTCTGTGAGTGACAGTTTCCAAATATGTAAATTGGAACATCTGAGACCCTGGCTTGCACAGTGTCTGTTAAGGTCAGGATAATGTGTTTTGCATATTTGGTGCAGAATCTGTTCAATCAGGCAGTTACTACAAACATGTTCCTTCATATTCTCATCTTATAACCAAATTGAACAACAGATCTCAACCCCAGAAAGCTGAGTGCCTAGAAGTCACAGTATTGATATAATCTATCCCTGTAATATTTTTGTTGGAAAAAAAGAAGACCATGTTCTATGAATGCAGCTCTCTGAATCTCACAAACAATGTGCTAATTAAAAAACAGTGGATAAACCGGGCTCGGTGGCTCAGCCTGTAATCCCAGCGCTTTGGGAGGCTGAGGTGAGTGGATTGTCTGAGCCTGCGGGTTCGATACCCGCCTGGGCAACTTGGTGAGACCTCATCTCTACAATAAATCAAAAATTAGACAGGTGTGGTAGCGCGCACCTGTAGTTCCAGCACTTGGAAGGCTGAGGCGGAAGGATTGCCGGAGCCCAGCAGGTGGAGGCTGCAGTGGCCGGGAGCGGCCACTGCACTCCAGTCTGGGTGACAGAGTGAGACTGCAACTCTAAATAAATAAATAAATAAATAAATAAAATAAGAGAAAAACAGTGGATAAATCTAGGTATTCATTGGTCTTTTCTTGCATTCTTTCTGTAAGTGTGAAATTTTCAAAATAAAAAAAATTGGAGAAAAAGAAATACAAGGTGTTTTTCAGAATCCCATCTCCATGATTATAGCTTAATATTTGTAGTGGTCATGTTCTGTAGTAACCAGAAATGAAATCGGAGCAGATTCCAAGAGAGAAGAAGGCAACACTGCAGCAGAAACCCAAACTCAGTTCATGTCCTCCCTCAGCTCAGCTCCTGCTACATGCTTTCAGGATGACATTGAACAAGCATTTCCACTTTGCAAGCCAAGCATTAAGTGTATTAAAAAGTTCCAATTAAAATATTTTTTACATGTATATTTTTTCACTTCTTTCCAGGAGGAATGAAAAAACGGCAAGACCCCTCACCAGGTTGCAACCCCTGTTTAGTGTGCCTGGCGCCCTCACCATCCCCTCCCCCAAGGGTGTGCTTCACAGTGACAGAAGCCAGAGAACTGCTGTATGAGTCACACGACTTGACAAATGGGGAGTGTGACTGGAGGTGAGGGCTGGTAACATCTCTCTTTGTTCCACTCTGCAGAAGCATCCTGTCCCTCCTTGACCCGCAAGCAAACTATCATCAGATGGTAAGGCTGTTGTGGTTTATGAATACAATGATCATTTAACCAGAGTCAGCTGCTAAGAACTTTCATTGTTTATCTTACTTTATTATACTTATAGTAATGGGGTAGCTACAGTTTTTGGTTTTTTCTTTTTTAGTTGGTGTCTCACTCTGTCACCCAGGCTGGAGTGTAGTAGCACACTCACGGCCACCGCAGCCTCGACCTGCTGGGCTCAGACTATCCTTCTGCCTCAGCCTTCCAAGTGACTGGAACTACAGGCCTGCGCTACAATATCTGACTTTTTTATTTTTATTTTTTTATTTATTGTAGAGATAAGGTCTCACCAAGTTACTCAGGCTGGTCTCGAACCCTCGGGCTCAGGCAATCCTCTCGCCTCTGCCTCCCAAAGTGCCGGGATTACAGGCTTGAACCACGGTGTCTGGTGGGGTAGCTACTGTTATCTGTATTTTTTTTTTTTTTTTTTTTTTTGAGTTGGAGTCTCATTCTGTCGCCCAGACTGGAGTGCAGTGGCCGCTCCTGGCCACCTCAGCCTCGACCTGCTGGGCTCTGGCGATCCTTCTGCCTCAGCCTTCTAAGTAGCTGGAACTACAGGTGCGCGCCACCACACCCAGCTAATTTTTGATTTGTTGTAGAGATGAGGTCTCGTCAAGTTGCCCAGGTGGGTCTTGAACCCACGGGCTCAGGCAATCCACTCACCTCGGCCTCCCAAAGTGCTGGGATTACAGGCTGAGCCACCGAGCCTGGCCGTTTTCTGTATTTTGTAACTGAGAAGACTGAGGCTCAACTGGCTATAAGAACCTGCTCAAGGCAACCCCCTCGGGTCCCCTCCCACTGTGGGAGCTTTTCTGTCCTCTCAATAAATCCTACTTTTAAAAAAAAGGGCGGCCGGGCTCGGTGGCTCAGCCTGGACGATGGAGAGCGACTCCAACTCAAAAAATAAAAAAATAATAAAAATAAAGAAGTGGAACTGAAACACCCGCCTGCTTTTGCTGTGATGCCCCCTGCATTCTGCACTCTGCCACCCATATCTATTCAGGTCAATAAATTGATAGCAGATATCTAAATTGACACCTTACAAATAAGAAAATCCAAATAAACAAAGCAAACTGGAGGGAGGTTAGTAGGAATTATAGGGAATAGAACCCGGGTATCTATCATACTAGGGTCATTCTCAAACTTGCAGGGAACTCTGGCACTCTGGTTTGCTTCGTAATATTAATATATGTTTACTGGGTTCCAGCTCTGGTTCTAGGAGCTTTCTCATGCTTTATTTCATTTCCTGTCACCATTTTGCAGACAAAGAAGCTTGAAGAATCTGCGCAGGTCACTGGAATAATCAATAGCAGAGTTGAGGTTCAGACCCTGGTCTGAATTACCGTGACCCTCTATCTTCTCTTCAAAGGGGAAACCACCTCTCGGGGTGATTGAGAGCACTTATCTCAGCAGATGAGATCATTTCGTATGTGCTGCTCTTCCTTCCACATATGTGTGTACTTTTATTGCTATTTTTTAAAAATAACAGTTTACTTAGTAGATTATAAAGTTTGATGACACAGACATTCTCATATACTGTGAATATGTGTCAGTTTTTGCAGCCTCTTGGAGGTGACTTGGAACTGTTTATTAATTTTTTTTTTTTTTTTTATCTTGGAGTCTCACTCTGTCACCCAGACTGGAGTGCTGTGGCCGCTCCCAGCCACTGCAGCCTTGACCTGCTGGGCTCCGGCGATCCTTCCGCCTCAGCCTTCCAAGTAGCTGGAACTACAGGCACGCACTACCATGCCCGGCTAAATTTTGATTTATTGTAGAGATGAGATCTTGTCAAGTTGCCCAGGCGGGTCTTGAACCCGCGGGCTCAGGCAGTCCACTCACCTCAGCCTCCCAAAGTTGAGAAAGATAGATCTGTATACATGGGTGGGAAAGATTTCCAAGGTGCGTTATCAAGAAGAAAATGTGGCTGGGCTCAGCCTTCCGAGTAGCTGGAACTACAGGCATGCACTACCACGCCCGTCTAATTTTTTGATTTATTGTAGAGATGAGGTCTCTCCAAGTTGCCCAGGCAAGTCTCGAACCCGCGGGCTCAGGCAATCCGTAGGCTCAGGCAATCCACTATTTGAATTTTTGCATATAAACATGTTTTTTATTATCTAATGGTAACAAAACTTATTGATTTGTTTTTTTCAACTAGTAATCATTAACAACACATTTAATACATTAATAGGATGCTTATTTTTATTTTTTTAATTGTATTTATTTATTTATTTTTGAGTCAGCGTCTCACTCTGTTGCCCAGGCTGGAGTGCAGTGGCATGCTCACAGCCATCACAGCCTTGACCAGTTGGGCTCAGGTTTCCAAGTAGCTAGAACTACAGGGGTGTGCCACAACACCCAGCTAATATTTCTTGATTTATTATAGAGCTGAGGTCTCACCAAGTTGTTCAGACTGATCTCAAACCCCTGGGCTCAAGTAATCCTCTCACCTTGGCCTCCCAAAGTTCTGGGATTATA